ATATTTATTATATTTTAATATGTTCTTATGGTACAAATTAGATGAATTTAAGAGAAAAACGCACTTGCTTTTGCGGGTAAATTTCGAAACTGCCAGTGACGTCGATTATATCATCGAAGTGATGCAGCCTTTTCTTAAAAACGAGCGAGCGAGCGGCCCAAGACGCGTGTGGATTTTGCCGTTTCGGGCCTTTTGGCGTGGCAGGGACGGGACGCTGTCGTTTGTCGGCTGCCATTTATTAATTATTATTATTACTCTGTTTTTGAATTTTTTGTTTTTTTCCTTTATTTTTTAGGGTGTGTTTGGTTGGCTCTACAGTCAAAGCTCAGGACCTGCTTTTGGACTTGAGAAGTGCTAGGGGCACTCGCCTTCTGCACTCTCCGGCCAACACTTTCACTTTTATTGGGCCACGTTATTCTGGTCGGTAAGAGGTTGCACTCGAAACCTGAAACAAGCTTACGTGGCCCAATGAAAGGGGAAGTGTTGGCCGGAGAGTGCAAGAGGCGAGTGCCCCTAGCACTGCTCTTTGGACTTTTATACTACTTGTAATGTTATTTGAACTCTTTCTCTTTGGACTTTTATACTACTTTGTAATGTTATTTGATCTCTTTCTCTTTGGACTTTTCTGGGTTTTTAACATTTGGATTTGGTAAAAAAAGAAGTACAAATATTTTGAATGGAATCCAGATGTTGTGGGACTTAATATTGGACGGTAGTAGGATTTTGAAATAGAGTGAGAGTGTTCAGAAAAAGCTATTGTTTTTGAATTTGAAAATAAACCAAGTCATGGAGTTTGACTTTTCTGTGATTAAATTAAACCTTTCCTATGGTAATAATTTGGAGGTTTGGGATTTTTAGTTGACGTAAATCATCAAGTTAATAAAACAACTTGTAGTTAACCTATGTAGATTCAAAAATCAAAACTTCAAAAATTTCATTAGCAAAAAGAGAAGGGTCCTATCACACTTCGTTTAGAAAGTCAATTTAATATAAATCTCTTCCACTTTAAATATTAG